AGGATGTTTGCAGCTTGGCCAAGAAAATAAGACGTCCTTTGGAGGCACAGACGTTGCTAACATTGCAGGCCCCTGGGATATGGGAAAATATATTCAGACAGTCACTAACCTGGGGTTCCCTAAGGCCACTCGATGCCTGTCTGATCAGCATTCCCCGCTCCCCTCCTGCCCTAATAGCACCACTACTGAGCTGGGAGCATTTCCTCAATGGCAAGATTGCGCCAACCCTGTACCAGTGAGACATACTATTTCTGGCTCTGACTTGTATGTATTGGATTGGTCTCACAGGCTTGATGCTAAACGTCCCCATCACGAGCCTGTATCACCAGGAGGGTTTGTGGGTAACGCCCTGACCACGGAAACAGGAGGTTTACAGAAAGGTCTGTGGCATTTAGCTGCTGCCCTTGACTTTCTTAATTCTCTGGCTCTTTCTTAGCTGATATTAAAGGAGCGTGTCCATCGAGCCCTTGCCATGGCTTAGGAGCCTGTGTCCAGCCTCCGTATGTATTGGTGACTGGAAAGGTGAACATCACCAGATTGGACACCCATTATGCTGTCCAATGCCATCACTGTGACCTTACCAGCTGTGTTTCCAGGCATCACCTGAATGGAGATATAGTAATTTCAATGCAGCCTTCCTTTATTATGCTTCCTACCCACATAACAGGGAGATGGTATCATGATGCACGCCTCCAGGCATCGCAGGAACTGCACAATCAGCTCTCCCAGTCACAGTGTGCTGCGGGTTTATTAGTTCTGGTCTTGTTACCCTCGTTACTGTCATCGCACCTGCTGTAGCTGCTTCTCTTCCAATGACCCAAAGCATCCAGAATGCAAAGTTTGTCAATGAATTGGCTCAGAACACCTCGGCTACACTTCATGATCAAGAAGATATAGACAAAAAGTTAGAAACAAAGCTAAATGCTCTGGAAGCTGTAGTGATGGGACTAGGCAATCAATTAGAAAGTGTCAAGATGAGACAGCAGCTACAAAGCCATGCTGCTTTCACATATATTTGTGTGACTTCAGCCCCGCTATGACAGTTCTCTATGGGACTGGAGTAAAATCAAGATGCACCTACAGGGAATATGGCATCATATTAATATCAGTATAGACCTCATATGGCTACGCAAACATGTGCAAGCCATTCTGAATAGTCATGATAAAATTATATCTCCAGTGAAACTGGCAAAAGAATTGCTGGATGATTTAAAAGGATTTAATCCATGGAAAATGTTAAAACACACCACCTGGCACCTAATAGGATTCCTTTATGTACCACTAACTTAACCTGCTTTCTTTTAGTCAGCAGCAAGCTCCTGAGATCTCAAGTCCGAGGGCTTCAATTAGATGTCCAAGCTAAATTTAAAATATTAAGAAGGTGGAGATGTAGAGAGAGCCTGAGAAAGGTCCCTGAGCTGATTGTCATCTGAATCCAGTGACACCTGGCAGACCCATGACCTGGAAACATACCTCGGTAGAGGCAGGTGTGTTGTCAGTCTGACCTTTAGCTCAGGCGCCAGGCACCTGAGTTCCAGCCAGGCACCAGGACAAACACGATTATCCAGGCCCATCCAGAAGTGACGATTACAAAGAAGCAGCGAGAATGCACATATTTTCTTTATCTTAAACTTTAGTAAAATTTCCTGGTAACTTACTGTATAAAATAAACCCACTGTATCTGCTCTGGGTCCCTGTCTCTCCATCAGAGGGCAGCTGATCCACCCTGTCCCAGCTTTCCCTACTGTCTTTGTGTCTGTCTCTTTCATTTTCCCAATCCCCCATCGCCCCTACTCAGGACTCCTGTCTGCTCTCTAGCTGTGCTGGTCGCAGAAAAGAGAAATATGTATAGACTGGCATCGTGTGCCTGCAGAGCGAGGCGATTCTTTATTGAGAATGCGTGCAGTGTGCAAGGTCTGGGTCACCCTCACCAAGCAGGTGGGAGAGGAAGGGCGAGGAGTCTGTTGGGTCTCAAAGCTGAGGGTCCCTATGGGCACGAGGCGAGGCCAGGGTGAGCTCTGTCTTTGCGGGGGGGCCTCCTGTGCCCGGGCTGGGGGTCGGGGGACCTGCTCGGAGATGCTCCAGGCCGCCGACCGCCCTACACGGGCCGCACCTTCATCTCGGCCACCATGTAGCTGTAATTTTTCCCGTTCCCTGAAATCCAGATGATGCCGTTCGGAGAGCTCTCGTTGGAGCCCCCGAGGTAGCGCCCGTTCAGGTGGGACATGTAGCAGCTGTAGTACCACCAGGCGCCCTGGTAAGTCTGGGCACAGTTGGAAGAGGCCCTGTCGTTGTCCTGGTCTTTGGTGGAGAACAGGGAGCTGTTGTGTTTGGTCAGGGAGTCACCTGCCAGGAGAAGTGGGGCCGCTTACACTCAGTGCCAGGAGGTGCTGGCACCAGGTCCGGCCGGAGCTGTCCAGCTGCACGTCGTGCGCTGCAAAGTCAGACGGTGCCGCACACACCAGCGAACGCTAGGTCGGCGGATCCCCTGACTTGGTATCCCCGCTCTGTTCTGTGCCGCCAGCTAACGGGCACGGTGCCCTGTTGAGGGGAGGCCACTGCCTGAGACGTCCAGGTCCCTCGGGCTCCACGGGAGGGACGTGCGCCCTGAGCGGTGCTCCCCGGGCGTCCTGTCCCCCTGCTCCAATGCGGGCGGTCAGGAGGGGATGCTCAGGTCCTGTACTTTGTAGCCCGTGTGTCCCGCCATCGTCATGGGCGCATCCAGGGGGAGGCGGGTTATCCCAACGTGTGGATGGAGGAACGTGGTGAGGCCAAGGCCCCGCCCAGGCCCCAGGGACACAAAGCCAGGACCCACCCAGACGCTCTCCACTGCCCACTCACTGCCTCCTCCTCACTACCCACCCCCACTGCCCACTCACACAGCCCAACCCCCACTGCACGCACACCCACTGCCCACCCACTGCCCATCCTCTGCCTACCCCCACTGTACAACCCCCCACTGGCCACTCCCACTGCTCACCCCACTGCCCATCCACCACTGCCACCCCACTGTCCACAGCCCAATGACCACCACCACTACCCAACCCCGACCACCCGGCCGACACTCACCGGCGCTGCCCCCGGCAAAGGCACCCAGGACCAGCTTGTACTTCTCATCCTTGCTCCCCAGCCTGAACGACTGGTACTTGGCAAAGTGGCGGGTGCCCTTGAAGTCTACCAGGTCCACACGGAGCTCGTTGGTGCCTGCGGGGGGCAGGGCCTCAGTCCTGGGAGCAGGGACCCTGAGCTGCCAGGACGTGGATAACGCTCAGGGGACCTGGCACTGGGCACCCAGGACGTTCCTCGAGGTCCCCCAGAACTTCCCGGTCGCTGAGGGTTGGGGCACATGTTCCCACAGTCCTGAACCAAACCCCCAGCCCTCCCTCCAGCCCCAGAGAGAAGGGGGTCCTTGGCGTTCGGTGGGAGGGGGTGTTGCCACAGCATTGCAGGAAGCGGCCGTCTCCCATGTGTGTTCAGGGACCGGGCACGGTAGGTGGTGAGGGAGGGCTGGGCGCTGGGCCGGACCCCAACGAGGGCCTCCGTGTCCCCCCCACCCCCGGTTGGACTCTGAGATGCCAGCACCCGTGACCGGAGGACGTCTGCCCCCAAACCCACTTCCTCTGGCCCTGACGCCCCCCCTCCCGCTGGGACCTTCCTGTCCTCAGAGGCGGCACGTGTGGGGGCGGAGGAGCGGGCTCCGTCCAGGTGGCCCAGGTCGGAAGTCTAGGCAGGTAGGTTTCGGGTCCCCACACCCAGGCCGCGGCCGGAGCCCTACCCTGGGCGGTCAGGGCGTGGATGTGTTCATTGCCCAGCCAGAACTCGCCCAGCTGGCTGCCAAAGCCCTGCTGGTAGGCGGCCCAGTCCCGGTAGAAGTCCACGGAGCCGTCCACCCTGCGCTGGATCACCTGGGGGAGGGGAGACGGCGCTGCCGCCCAGCACGGCCCAGCCCACAGCCCAGACCC